AGGCTCACAGTGTGTTTAATTCACCCCTGGGCAAAAGACCCACACAAGAGCTATGCATCACACAAGTTCTAATGGAGGCCTCACATATGGTAGGTAGGATATAAATGGTGCACAGCCCTTGTATGAATCCTCTGCATGGGAGTGAATTATTTCATCCAACAAAATTTTGATGTAAATTTGGCAGCAAAAGGAGTGATGAAGTGGCTGATCCCTTATCCTCTGGCATAAAAGAAGAATGAAGAAGAGAATGGAAAAACAGGGTTTTTTTTCCTCAGTAGTACTCTTCCTACAAAAAAGGTAAAGGGAGTTGACAAAGTGACACTTATTTGTGTTGTTACCAAAAGTGTCATGGATCAAAGAAGACCAAAGGTAATTTCCCCCTCCTCCTCTCCCCAGGTACAGAGCTAGTGAAATTCATCCACAATACTGAACTCCATTCTGGTTAGCTACATATCTGAAATGTTGGTAAACTGGCAGAAAATTCAGTGAAGAACCACAGTTCAAAACCCCACCACTCCATTAAAGGGCTGAATGGAATAATGCATGAAAAAAAAGATAAAGAACATTGTGTCTAGATTGGCTAAATGGCTATTAGAAGGACAAATAATTATTTGCAATAGTTATAATTTAAGGATACAGAAAAGGCTGATAAAAACATGTGACTGTAATTCTGAGCAAATGTGTCATCATCTTTTTGTCAGGAACTGCACAGTAATATATTTCATAATTTAAGTAAATGATTTAACAGAATAAGTGGAAATAAAGACTATCTCAGCATTCGCTCTGTTATTATATATAATTGACTGTTTTGGGATTTCTGGATAAGAGACACTCTCAATGTCAGTTTTCATTATTTGTTCATCTTTCAGGTATGGAGATCCCTCTGCCAAACTTCCTGAATCTGTATAGATGAAAAATATTAGTCAGATGTGAAACTACTCAGCTCACAGAACCCACTATAAATATTTTTAAAAACAGAAGAAAATAAATGTAAATATGGAGTTGTGACATGTAGGGGTTTTTCTTTTTTGTTTGGTAATTCAGAAAATTAGTAGCTAGTTTAGAAATAAAATGGTGAATGAACAAAACTTACTTACATCTATGGCTTTGTCTGTAAAATGGCTGGGAAGATACTTGCTTACTTCCCAAGTATATTGGGAGAATAAACAGTATTAAGAACCATGAGACACTAATAAGTATGAGGGTTCCTAAACAGCCAGCAAGAAAAATAATGCATATAAGGAACACTGGCATTTTGAAGGGAGTTAAGGGTGGACCTTTAACTTCCTTGTGTCCCTTTAAAAATCTATCCTATTATTAAAAGATTTTGCAAAACCCAAATAAAGGGTTCTATCTCACACTTAATAACTTAAAAGAAACTGTAATTCCCAGCATCACCTTTTCTTCTTTCATCGAAGCATAGGCATCCTCTTCATGATTTTCAAGCCTTAAAAACACTTCCCTTTCTTCAGCATATATTGTATATTATGTACCTTTGTCAGTATTTCTGTATTTCACCTACTATGTCTTTCAGACCTTCACTCCATATCTAGGGCTGTGTCTAGACTACATGCCTCTGTCGTCAGAGGCATGTAGATTAGACACATAGGCAAAGGCAAATGAAGCCGCTATTGAAATGATCGCAGCTTCATTTAAATTTACATGGCTGCCGCGCTGAGCCGACAAACAGCTGATCAGCTGTTTGTCCGCTCAGCGCGCTAGTCTGGACGCTCCCCTGCCGACATCACAGCCCTTTGTCGGCAGCCCCGTTATTCCTCGTGGGGTGAGGTTTACCGGGGCTGCCGACAAAGGGCTGTGATGTCGGCAGGGGAGCGTCCAGACTAGCGCGCTGAGCGGACAAACAGCTGATCAGCTGTTTGTCGGCTCAGCGCGGCAGCCATGTAAATTTAAATGAAGCTGCGATCATTTCAATAGCGGCTTCATTTGCCTTTGCCAAAACAACAAATCTACATGGCTCCGTTGACGGAGCCATGTAGTTTAGATGTACCCTAGATGAATACCATCTGGTTCTGTTTCATTGCTTCATCCACAGAGGCATCAATTGTTCCCAAATCAAATTCTGATTGCACTAATTATAATCCCTCCATAATGTATTAATACAATCTAATGCTCAGATCCTTGCACCCTTGTATAATCCACTCCTTTACACACATCTAGACCCTTCTACCTGAGGCTCTCAAAACACAAATAAGTAACTGTGGTGCAGATATAACCCTGGTAGCCCAATGGTAGGAGAAGAAGTAGTACAGAGAGTTGAAGGCCCAAATCCTCAAAGGTATGCAAGCACATCTGTCATTACATTCAATAAGAGTTTGGCACCCAACTTCTTTGAGGGGAGATCTGGGCTTAAGTGACTTGCCTAAGGCCGCATTGGAAGATGTGTGGCAAAGCTGGCAATAACACTTCTGATTGCCTGCCCTACAAGTTAGCCCCTAGACTTAAGCCCCCGAGGTGGGGGATGAGAGGAGGACGATGCTGTGTTCCCGGCTCTGTCATTACATTCAATAAGAGTTTGGCACCCAACTTCTTTGAGGGGAGATCTGGGCTTAAGTGACTTGCCTAAGGCCGCATTGGAAGATGTGTGGCAAAGCTGGCAATAACACTTCTGATTGCCTGCCCTACAAGTTAGCCCCTAGACTTAAGCCCCCGAGGTGGGGGATGAGAGGAGGACGATGCTGTGTTCCCGGCACACTAGGAGCTGAAATTGCGGGAGACAGAGGCCTTGGGCACAGGAGCCGCACGCACGTGCCGGGTGTGTCCCTTTCGGGGGGGGTTAAGGAGGAGAAAGGGGAAGGGGGGAAGGGGAAAAGAAGGCCCCGGTGGGGCATGCAGGGAGAGTTCAGTCCTCCTCCTCCACCTGGAAGCTCTCCCGCAGGGCTTCCCGGATCCGGACGGCCCCACG